TGTAGTTCAGGGACTGGCCAGGTCTGTAAAAAAGGTCACGAGGGCCCTTAACCATCTCCTGCTTCATGATCCCTAAAGCGTAGGGGCCTACATCTGCAGAAAACTACCTAGAAAAGAGCTTAAATGCAATTTATATGCTGCAGACTTTGAAGGAACTTAATAAAAGTAACATTTTAAACCATTACTTGAATGGAATAATGGTATTTGTTGATGAACTACAAGAGCAGTATTTTTATTCTCTTGTATATTAGAGAGGACATGATCCTGTTAGCTGCTGGCAAGGAAAAGACCGCCTTTAGATGAAAGTCATACACATTCACATCCACAACATATAACTTTAACTGACCCGCATACTCAGGAAATGGAAGCCACAATACCCTAATTAAACTCTGATGAGATTGATCTCAAAGTTAAACCATGCTGGAAAGCCACCAGGTATGGCTCTCATGTTGACAGAGAGCACAGACATCTGGGACAGGTGCGGTTGTGGTTCGCTATGACTTGTGCAGGCTTGCCAGCTCAAAGCAGACAACATCAAAGTTCCCACAAAAGAAAGAAAACTAAAGATAAGTTTATTCTCCTTTTCTAAAGCCAACTTCAAAGTTATGATGTCAAAGGATTATGGGAAAGAGACCGAAGTGCAGAGAAAAGGAAGCATTTCCAAAGAAACACAATCAAAGCACCAGCCTTTTTTACTATCAGCACGTGTTATCCCGTGTCACGTTATAGTGGGGGTCATTAAACAACTGACTTTAGAACTGGAAGATGTTTGTTTTTAAATTCAGCACGAATTGCAACCTGCTTTACTTTTGGAATATGATGGAATCAGATTCTGCTCCGATTCAAGATTTGATCAGATTCTGCTCAGATTTAGGATTGATCAGAATTTGCTCAGATTACAATTAATCAGATTCTGCTCTGATTCAAGGTTTATCATATTCATCTTAGATTTAGGATTAATCACAATTAGCTCAGATTTAGGATTAATCAGATTCTGCTCCGATTTAAGATTTGATCAGATTCTGCTCAGATTTAGGATTAATCAATTCACTCAGATTTAGGATTAATCAGATTCTGCTCCTGCACATAATCTGATCAATATATTCAACAGCTCACCCATCTGTGACATCATCAGATATATGAAGTCGTTTCAGAGGGAGAGCAAGTTAGTTATACAAGATTATAAAATGCAAACAGACCTTTTCTTTGGAATGACATGCACCAAATCATTCACAATAAGACCAGGAATGTGTAGATAAGAAAGTAAATATGTTGACTTCCCATGTTGACTTTAAAGGGGTTTGGGCGGGAAACTAAAACATGGTTTTAAACCTTAACGGCTTACTGGCATCAATTGATGCTCACGCTGATATACAGTACAAAAGTACTCCTGCTTGTGACAAACTGCTTTTTAACTGATTAATAGACTTATAATGTGGAAATGGCAAAACATTCAAATTGTCCACTTGATAACAAACAGGTACAAATCTGATAAAATGCAATCTCACAGATCACAAGGGCCATAAATTAAGGCCAGGCGAGCATTGCAAACCTCAATGCACACAATCTCCATTTTCACTGCACCAGCTATAAAGAAATACCCTACTGTGCTTCTACAAGACTTCTGTCATAACTTTTTTTAAGTCTTTGTATAATATCTAGTTTCCATAAATGATGTCAAAATCTGGTGACAGAATCTAAAGAGACAGCTATAGACTAAAATAAACAACTAAATGCACAGGACGTCTGCATGTTGTGAGGTATGAACTTTGAGGTAATTCTTGTTGCTGAAGACCTACTGTCAAAGCATCCAGCTAAGGGAGACCAAATGAGACCCACGATGTGACTAACCACAATGTCACGTATATGACATCACATCATGGTTTAATAAAACGTACTTTGACCTGCATTCTTCTGCTGCTCAACATAGCACCCATGTCTGCTTTTTTGAAGCAGCTCTGAAAACCTGTGCTTGTTCTCTTCTGGGCGCGTCATAACATTTCTGGAATTTTACAATAGTAGCACAACTTGATCGGACTTCTTTCAAAGCATCAAACAAGAGGTTGACTGATTAATCCGCACAGATAGTTGCTTTTAGATCGGGTTCCATTTAACTGATTGAGCACCTGTGTGCAAACATCACTGGTGAGAAATGCAACCAAAAACAATGTGGAACATGTGGCTGAAACCACTGATGATCAGAGCACTTCTGCATTGTGCATTGGAAAATAAACATCTCAATACAACTGCAATAATCCTTCAGGTTAAGCCTAAAGGGGGTTCTTTAGAAGGAAATGTGACATGGGGGCAGGAGTAAAAACGATTTAGAATTCTGCCTCTGGCCTGGGGGGCGGCTTTATTGTAATGGCCGGTTTCATTTCCTGAGTCCTGGCGCAAACAGTGTGGGATTAAGGGCTTTCAATTGAACATATACAGTACAGATGCTTCCTCTCAGCTGCTACTATAAAAACAAAGCACTGCAAAAAAAAAAAAAAAAGTTCTCTAACAAAATTAGTCGAACTCAAAATATCATACATTTTCAGGTTGAAGACAGCAGATAGAGGCAGGAGCATTTGCAAATCAAATGCAGTCACGTCGTCAACCTCAACGGGGTTGATGCACATCTCTTGCAATACATACAACTTAAAACTTCAGTCTCAGTGGTGCTTTTGAAATGCATGATGGGAACAGAAGTATGCGCTGCAGTAATTCATATGGTAACCCAAAGTCTTTTTCAACTGAAGGGCCTGTAAAGGAGTTGGGCGAGATAACGGCTTCTCGGTGGGGAGTATACAGTTGAATTTGATTACAAATGGAGAAGAGTCCGTGGGAGATGTCGCAATCGTACATGTATTAGTTAAAGAAAACCTGCTGAACAATATAGTCAGCAGGGGTCCAGAGGAGGTCTTGGAGAAGCCGAATAACAAGAGCAAAACCACCTGACTTTTTGTCCCGAAATGCAGGGTGGATCCAAGCAAGTGCACTGGAGGTTACAGAGAGCCATGGGGTACTTCATGCATCTCAATGGACGCATTTCTGCAAGTCAAGAGTGCCACTGCTAAGCACACACACGCCTATCCTGTTGTAAAACAATGTGTCTCCCTTCTTTAGACCAGACAATTGCTCTCTTGTCTTGCCTGATGACAGATAAACTGGTTCCTATGAAGGCCACTGTGAAAAAGAGGTGCTTCTGTGGTAAAGAAGAGAAGAGTACAAGCTAGAGGACGACAATAGTATTTCTATTTCCACAGTAGTACTTTCACTGAGGGAAGCATATTAATAAATGTCTGAATGGAGGAGTCATATGAATCAAAATCGGTTCCTCTAATCCAAGCAAACAGTCTTTTGTTGAGCTATATTTGCTTTCTTTTATAATGGGACTATAAAATGGATTTGGATGGTACAACAGGGCAGACAGGTAACTCGAAGTGGATGATTCACCTTTGAATAAAAGATTGTCTCGTATCTAAAACATGAAGAAAATTCTCATTACATAATCTAAATTTACTCAGTGAGCAATACCATTAGCCAATCATGATTACAAGTCAGATTCAGTCATCAAACATATTCCTATAAAGGAGGGAACAAGCAGTGGCACACTTCACAATAATGAAAATATGCAAATTACTTCTGCGACACAAAAGCAAAAAAAAAAAGTGAAGTTGCATGGAGACAGTTTCTCACTACAAATAAATCTAAACTCAGACCAGCATTTACAGCAAAATTTGTAATCAAAACAATGGTCATCAATTGAAGCGCAGACTTCTCAGGGGGAAAAGGGTGATTTTTCTTTTTGCAGCAAACTGAAAGAAACCCACCAGCTAAACTAGTAATACTGGGTGTGACATTGCAGACGGTGTGTTTTGGGGGAGGGGTGGAGAGAGAGAACAAAAAACAGATGCTGCACTAAACTACTAGTTGTAAACTCAGTTTGGCTCTCAAGCCAACCTAGAAGACAAACAGTTACAGGCGTAAATGAAACAACATGACCTACTAAGAATGTTACAAATCACAGGATAACCATATATGTAAAATCTGACTCATTAGAACGATAGTAAACTAGTTGCATTGAACAGTAATAAAACGTTAAAATATTAAAAAATATTTAAAAATATTAAAATATATATATAATTTTTTTTTTTTTTAATTAGTAAAATCAAACTTGCACACTACTGATTTAAAGAATTACACTCTTTGTTTCTCACAGCTAAGGACAAGACAAGACAGTCACAAATCATAACACGTTTAAGTTTGACTCAAAACCCAACAATCTTTCAGCACATCACACTATTATTATGCTTTTTGTCTTCCAGCCCAAAAGGTGAATGAGTTTCTTTAAAGTTGCATTGACAGACTGGCTGGTGCTTTACAATAACAGATGTTTACCAGCCGGGCTTTTGTGTCCTTTATTTCATTACCTGAATATGCTACTGATGCACTAAACTACAATAAAACGCTATGAAAACCAGCGCCTCAGCATTTCCATCACCTCACAGAGAGACACACAAAATATAGACACAGAAGCACGAAGATACAAGCTCAAATAGATTATTAATTACTTTTAACAACCAAAGCATCAAGGTTGAACATGTACAGCATAATATCATACAATTTTTTTCATTAGCGAAACAGGTGCAAGTAAAAGGTAGTAAAAGGAGAGGGGGCGGGGACAAAGAGAGCGTTTCTGGAAATAATTGTTACTTTTATACGGAGAAACCCGTCGTTAATTGATATTTTGTTTCTGATAAAGATAGCATATTATAACTGCATCAAATTAAAGGCTTTGGAAAGAATTCCAAATGAAACTGTGGCGCGCGTTCTCTTTAAAAGACTTGATATATAATTTCTCAACATGTTTGGTCATTCTCAGGTCATAAAAGTAACACTGCTCAGTTCTTTCATTGGTCCATCTCATTGTAAATGTCAGAAGAGACGTTCTAAAATAACGAATGTTCTAAAATTCAAATTAAAAATGTAATCGAAAATTAATTTTCTGTTACCTTGATTAATCAGTGATACGGTGAGCAGACACGTTAAAAGGGCGATCCGGTGCATCTTTCGGTCTGGGTCTGTTTTCAGTCTGGGTCTCTCAATCTCGAGAAATAATATCCTTGCGTTAGCACGTCCTTGCTGGATAATGTTCTGGAAAGTGCAACACACGCAGCATGCGTCAATACATTCAAACTTTGAGGTTGTTCCCCACGTGTTACATCTGTTGAAGCCCTGGAGGGGTTATAGGTCTGTCCTCAAGCTCCTCCCCTGCGCTGTGTATCTAAACTAATTTAAACATTTGATGACACATCCCTTATCTTATCTGTGATCTTCTGCTGTTCTACTTTACTATACAGTATCGTTTTCATAATGTTTTGGATGTCGGGGAAGACAACATGGCTTTCATATGAAATTCACCTTGGAAAACTAAATGCTTAGGACTTCCTCAGAAAGTCTTACAAGGTGAAAAACTTACAAGGTGTCTGCAACATTATATAGAATTATTTAACCTAATTAAAACACTAAAATCGCAATATAATTGGCCAAAATGTTGACCTAAAACATGTAAACGTGGTTTGCCATCCAACTGCAATTTTCTTTTCACACCCAGCAATTTTTCAAACTGACTGTAGAAATTTGAATATTGGCTCAAACAATGGAAACCTTGGAGTTAGATTGGTTGAAAGCCACTAGTCTAAGGATTTTTAAGCAATACCTGAGTATAGCTACTATTAGTTTTATTTGTTAAAACAGTCAGTATCCAGCTGTTAACAGAAATGTTTTGCTAAAGTTGCTATTAAGTTCTGAAAATAATTATTTTTGAATATTCTCTGAATTCTTTTTATAGAACGTTCCTTATTAGGTAGGTGTTATTTATTGCTTTGTAGGTGACAAACCAGCAAGCGTAACATAATTTCCAATGGCTTTACATGTCTTGACATGCTTTTTACACCTCACAGTTTTGTGTGCCTAAGGCTGCAATAGTATAGAACTAATAATATTAGCTATATGCTCATGTTATTTAATTAATCAAATCATATGCAAAACATAAAATCAGTCAAACAGGTTAAACTGGTAATGAAAGAGTCTTTAGATAAGAGAATCTCGTTTTAAAGCCTGATCAAATCTAGTGAACCTGGTACATGAAGAGACGTGAATCATTTGCATCTTTCTCTTTCTTTCTTTCTTTCTTTCTTTCTTTCTTTCTTTCTCCCTCTATTATCCCTCCTCCCTGTTAGCCACCAAGCCACTATTTCTCCTCTTTTGCATTTTATTGCCCCAATATTAGCTGAAATCCCCCACACACACTCATCTCAGTGGCAGGTGGGCTCAAGGGGTGGGGTGTTCCCTCATCTCATTCGGTTTGTATTGTACTTCCTCACACCTCCTAATGGCCTGCCTGATAGATACGAGACTGAATGCATGAAGAACAATGGCAAACCATGATGATTCTCTCTCAAAGGAGAGCCTATGACAGCTCAGAGAGAGTTCATAAACAGGGCACTATTTCATTAACATCCTTAGATGTTTTACTGGTTAGTTTTTTTTGTTATTATAGTAAGTCCCTTACTAAGAGATATAATTGTGCAAATGATTTTTTTATTGCATGCATTCATCTGATATTAAAGTTACATTTTGATGTCAAAAGCAGTTTGCGAGCATGAACTCTGTGAGGTAAAGATTTGCCTAAAGCAAATGAACAAAGCCATGAAATTTTGCATTAGACAAAGTCCTAAACAGTCATCAAAAAGATGGGTGACACCTCAGATAGGGTGAAATGAAGCTGACGAGGAGCGTTTGCTTCAAATTAGTACAAACCAACAACAATTAGATGCCGAAAAAATGTGTGAGCTTCAAATAAGATCGTCTGCAATTAAAAGTGTGAGAGAGGGACGCTCTGCTCCAATATGCTCAAAAGACATTCACCCGTTCCACCGAGTGTGAATGAGAGTCTCTAAGCAGCAGAGCCTCATTATATTGAATGCATTGGAGGGAGGGGGCAGAGAGTGGAGGATGACACTTTGACCCTGATGTAATCTACAGGTCTGTGGGAGGTGTGGATGCCCTTCGTGACCTGCTCAGTGTAAGTCAATAGCCAAACTCAAATGCATGAATGCTTCATTAGTTCAGCTGACTGTGCATGGCAGTGAGAACATAGAAGATTGGCTTGGTCTTTTACATTTGCTTTTAATAGCACAGTGTTGCCAAGACAATTTTTATTTTATTTTATTTTACAGTTTATTTAAGAATTTATTTTGTGAACAAAGATTTTTATTTTTTATTTTATGCATTATGTATTTTATTTTTAATTTTAATAATTGTATTTTTATTAAATTGACGATTTTAAGATGTCCTCTGTCAAATGAAAAGGAACTCAAATAATGAATCTATAGAAATTATTATCTTTATTTATTGATTTATTTATTTGCTTAAATCAGACCTTCAAAACCCTGTTTATGAGCTTGTTTATAAAGGGAGGGATATTTAAACTGAGGGTTTTGTGACACTATTCAGGTGTAACCAGTACGTGATCATTACATCATCCTGCAGAAAATGAAAATGACCTCACAGGCCCTGAAAAAGTGAAACAGATCATTTTCACAGGGCCTTTATGGTCAGATAACCGTTCACCCTTTGAGGCAGAGACATGTTAAAACAAAAAAAAGTCAGAATAAAGGTTACTTACCTATCTTTCTTTGGGGCAGGGAGTTTTGGTTCTTTTTTTCTCTCCCTATTTTGATGTGGTTTGAAGATTTGGAGAGCTTAAAATAATCACATTATTTCAAAGAAAGGAAAAATGACAGGTTCATGAGGCAGTTTTATGAAATGACTTTCTTGTGCAATAAGCTGTTGAATTGTACTGTTTTTATCTCTTGCTGTTGTGCTGTGAGCCCTGAGGGACTGATCCAGCACAAGATCTGGTCCAGGTGATGCACAAATCTCAAAGATTAGAGCCCACACAGCCTTGGGCCGTCTTCCAGTTTCTGTGTTTTTCAGAAAGAGACCCAGCGAGAACGACTCTCAGCCTCAGGCTTTGAATAACAAGGTGTCTCCCATGTGCACATGCTCCTTTTAGCAGTGCCATTTTTCAGCATATTTCTTACAAAATATTTTGGCGTGTTAATGAGGAAGGAGGAAACTCAAACTGGAACAATCCGGTCGGACCGTACATGGCTTCATAACTTGGGTGAAGTTATCTAAAGCAAATACATTGATGTGTCTGAACCACCATTAGGGAGAGTATGTGAATTATACAGTATTGACTTTAGAACACATAAGGAAGGTGAAGGAGGGCCAGTAATTGTGTGTCCTTTTCAGTAACTTAAGTAATTTAAGCTTCCTAATGCTTAAAGGAATCGATCAATTTGTGGTCCGTAATGGTTGTGGATCTCACAAGTTGTGAGAGCTTTTGCATGACCCGGCAAATGCAAAGCGTCCATTAACACAAGGCGTCAGCTGAGAGCCCCCACTTTCTCATGCTCTATATATGAGTTTATAGCCCCACTTTTCCCCAGGGTTCCCTTTCCCCCTTTCTTCTCTCTTATATAGATTGTAGCATATCAAACTGTGCTATTATAACATTTTCAATGAAGAAGGGCTTTTTATTGAACCTCTACTTGCACTACAATTATGAGGTGTTTTCCTTTTCTGTCATTTATTTTGCATTTAAAAAAAGGTTGAATGATATAATGTAACATAAAACAGTTTGCACTTCTTTTGTAAAATGCTAAAGGGCACATAATTCGTGTTTTTATTGTTTTTTTGTGGTGAGGTAATATATGAGAGCCTTTTATGAGAGGATTATGATGGTATGGGCATGTAAATATTTGATAACTTCTAAAAGGACCTAAAAGGCAGACCACATGTAGAGAAGCTTTGATTTCTTTGATGTTCTGATACTATAAAGTCATCATCCACTTGCAGTATAATCTTGACTAGTCATAATATTAACCTTAAACTGTAGAAGACGTAGGATATTATATTTCACACTACCCAGCTTTCATGCTGTGATAAAATAAAAAAATTAAAAAAGAGATAGAATAAAATAAAATGGCTACATTCTTGTCAGCCTTTTAAAAAAGTACTTTACATAAGTAAAATGTTTAACTTTGTGCTATAAAATATAAATGATGCTACTTTATCATTACATCATCCTGCAGAAAATAAAAATGACCTCACAGGCCCTTACAAAAATGAAAGTGTTCAATTCGGTAGAAATCGCGATCGCGTTCCCCTCAGTAGAAATCGCGTTTCCCCCTCGGGGGGCCCCCTCCATCGTCAGGCCCTTAGAATCGTCCTAACCTCCCCTCCCTTACGGCGCCCCTGCTTGCGGCTAACTACTTCTCCTTCTCCACATCCAAACCAAGTTTAGCTGCAGGTAAAAGGTTATCTTTTTTAAAAGCCAGATTTTGTGAGAAAACCTCAAAGGCATTGTGTGAGGGGAGTGCTGTATCTCTGCACAATTTGGTCCTTTTTTAAAAACCCAGACTCATTTCATAACAATCTCCAGAGCCACTAAAGCCCATTTTTTAATCATTCTAATGAAACACTCGGATGACATATCAGTCTCCTTCATCCCACACATTTACTCTGGATAATGTTTATCACTTTCGTTGTGCATCAAAGCATGCGAAAGATTTCAGATGCTCTGGTTTCCTGATAACTGGAATCCTGGAGTCTGTCAAACCAAGACCAGACGTCCAGACAAAGACCTAATATCTGAAACCGAGATCAAGATTTCTGACAAAAAACAGACCGAGGCCCAAATAAACAATAATGCAAAGCAGTCTCAGTTGGAGGGTGTCGTTTTTCTTTGATTAGCACCCCCTTTTTTAACCAAGACCTAGACAACAGAGACAACAAGCCCACTGATCACAAAGACATGAGAACCTCAGTAGCTATTCTACTTTGTAATGAAATGTTTAACCACCTTTAACCATTTAGAGGCTCATACGACAATGCTTAGATAACAGGGTGTGGCTAAGCTAATAAAAACAAGCAGAAAACACTATTACTGTTGGGACTGACAGGCTGCGATACCCATTATCCCACATGCATTTTACCACAATAAATGCAAAGCACTGAAAACCAAGATAAAAAAGCTTGAAATGAATTATTAAGTAGCTTTAGTCATAACACAAATGAAATAAGCATCTACAGAGGAAGCGAAGAAGCTACTTGTCAAAGAGCATGTTGTTCCTGTTTAATGGCATGAATTTAATCATGGTGGGAGGTTTAAGAATTTCTTAGAA